CCTCCTCCTCCTCAACTCCTCCTCCCCCTCCCCCTCCTCCTCCTTCTCTCCTCCTCCTCCTCCTCCTCCTCCTCCTCCTCCTCCTCCTTCCTCCTCTCCTCCTCCTCCTCCTTCCTCCTCCTCCTCCTCCCTCCCCCTCCCCCCTCCCCCCCCCTCCCCCTCCTCCTCCTCCTCCTCCTCCCCCTCCTCCTCCTCCTCCTCCTCCTCCTCCTCCTCCTCCTCCTCCTCCGCGGAGTCACAATCGCCCAGCCTTTGCGGGCACGAAGAGGCGCACTCCTGCCCGCCACGATCATCGACGTCAGCGGTGCACGAAGACTGTGCCCGCGGTCATCTCTTGCCATCTCGGCCACGAGAGCGGTCGATGTCAGGGGTCGGTGAGGAGGTGGGCGCTTGCGCAGCCTGGGACGGCGTTGATGAGGGCGTGGAAGGGCGTTGACTCTGCGCGCGGATTTCGCGAAATGCCCCCGCCCCCTTGATTGCCAGGCCGGCTGGTTCTAGAGCCCATGCGATCGGGGGGCGCGCAATGGTCTTGAATGCTGTCATGATCGCCCCCGCCTGGCTGCTGAGCTGACCGCGTAACTGCCTGGTGTCTTCGACCGTGGCGAGGATTGTGGAGAGGTCGAGGTACTGCCAGAGCAAGTTGGTGAATTGGGCGGCGACGGTTGGCGCGCCCTCGACGCCGTGCGGGTTGAACCCAATGATGCAAGTCAAACCTTCTGGTGTGAGCTCCCTCAAGTGGTCCGTCTTATTCGCCGCCCCTTTAGCGAGCCTCCTCTTCGCTCGTGTGCTCTCCAAATCAGAGGCACCTCTCGCAGGCCAGGCTGAGAATCTGAGCGTGAGAAGTGCTCGCGTTATGAATCTGCGGGATGGCCCAAAGTCGGATGAACCCCCCTTCCCCCCGGCGTGCGTCTGCCATTCAGCCGCGGCTCGGTCGCCTCGGGGCCGTCGACCTCGGAGAATCCCCCAAGACCCGGGCTGGGAGCGGGCTCCTGGACGGCAAACACCACGGCCTCGAGGAAGACCTTGACCTCTGCGGCTCTGGTGTCGTCCTGGGCCGCAGCCAGGCCGCGCAGGCTGGGGCTCGGCAGGCAGGCGTTGCCAGCTCGGGCAGCCAGGCTGATGCCGCTGGCGTCTGCGATGCAGCTCCTGCGGTTCTGGCAGGCGCGTCGCCAGGCCGAGGTCGGCCGCAAGGCGTGGCCGGGAGGTCTCGTTGGTAGAGCCCGCAGCTTGGGCTGTTGACACTCCTTGCGGCGCTGGGATGGCGGGTGCTGCCTGGGCAGGGTCCGGCGGCAGCGTCGGCGCCCTGTGGGCGGCGGGCCCCTTCGGCTGCATGGTTTCTGCGCCTTGCGTCGGGCCTCTGTGTGGATCCTCCCCTTCCACGTCGGGAGGAGGGAGGTCGGGGGGGGGCCCAGGAGGAGTCCCAGGAGGAATCCGAAGGGACGCTGGTGCCGAAGCGTCTCGTGGTGCTCCCTCCACCGCCTTCAGCATGTCCAGGCGGTGGCGTTACTGGAGTCTGCAGCTGGCATCCACCTTGCAGGATGGGCACCTTCCCGCGCCTGGTGCCAGAGCACCGAAGAGTGGACATGCATCGTGCCCGCAGGAACACAGCCTGGTGAACAGGGTGCTCGGGCCACGACCTCGCAGACGCAGTGCCAAGTGCAGGGTGGTGTGCTTCTGGATGTTGTACTCCTGGAGCTTGCGGCCGTTCTCCAATAGCTTGCCAGCGTGGATAAGCCTTTGGGCATCTGGGGGGGTGCCTTCCTTGCCGTGAATCGTTGACGTGGCGTCGCCCACTGTGTCCTCGACTGCGACACGGAGAGAAATAGTCTTACCCGTGAGCGTCTTCACCCAGATCTGTATCTCGTTGTGGGTGCGGGGTTTGGCACTGAATTTGTTGCTGGCGTGGGAGGTGGTGGCGGTGTTGGCATCTATGCTATTTTGGGGGTCGGTGTTGTTGTTGGCGTCGGTGTGTGCGTGTGTGCTGTCGTTGGTGCTGTCATGGTGCTGTCGTGTATGCTGTCGTATGTGCTGTTGTGGGTGCTGTCGTATGTTCTGTCGTTGGCGTGGGGCGTTGGCTTCATTGCTGTCACGGATGCTGTCGTTGGTGCTTGAGTCGGAGCTGTCGTGAGCGTTGGCGACGGGGATGCCGGCGTCTGTGGAGGCGCGGGCGCTTGTATCGGGGATGCTGGCGTGGTGGTGTTGGCGTCGGTGCTGGCGTCGATGCTGCTGGCGTTGCTGCTGGCTTCGGCGTCGACGTGGATGCTAACGTTGCAGCCGATGTCCTTCCTGTCGAGGGTGCTCGCGTGGGTGTCGACATCGTTGCTGTCGTGGGCGTGGGCCTTGATTCTGGTGCCGATGCCGCCAAAGGCCGCGAGCTCCCCCGGCTGGCCTGGCAATCTTCCTGAGGGGCCTGATCCTGCTACAGGCTACAGGTGAGGCCATGAAAAAACTGTGAGGCTGGGGGCAGAGAAAGTATATGAGAGGGTCAGGGGCGGGGTGGTAGGGCCCTGGGACTTCGGAGGCGCGTGCTGGCCAAGATGCAATTGCCCCGGCGTTGCTTTCCCTCATGTGTCCGGGAAGTTGCCCTCAACACAGTCAGCGCTGAGGCAGAGCTTGCGGGCGACGCAAACGCCACCAACATGGCCAGCCAGGCTGGCGTCGGTGCTGGTGTCAATCTTGGCGTCGGTGCTGGCGTCGGTGCTGACGTTGTGATGGTCCAGGTACTGCAGAACGCCGACGTGCTGGTCGCAACAGTGCCCTTGACTGTCCGTGCCGTGGTCCTCCTCCTCTTCCTCCTGGTCGTGGTCGTGAACCGCGCCGTAGTCCCCGTCGGAGCCGGCCTGGATGCTGCTGGCGTCGGTGTCGGATTCGGGGCTGGCGTCGGTGCCAGTCTTGTTGCTGCAGGAGTTGGTGACAAAGCCGGTGCTGGCGTGGATGCCGCTGGCGTCGCCGCCTGAGTCGAGGCGGGCGTCGGTGCGGGTGACGATGCTGCTGGCATTGGTGCATGTGTCGGTGCTGGTGTCGATGCTGCTGGCGGCGGTGCCGGACCCGGTATCGGATCTGGCATCGGAACCCGCGAACGCGGCCGAAGCTGGTGTCACGGGTCCCGCTGGCGCGGGTGTCGCAACGATGATGATGTTGGTGCCGGAAAAGGTGCTGGCGTCGATGCTGCTGGCGGAGGTGCCCGACCCGGCATCGGAGCTGGCATCGGAGCCCGCGAACGTGGCCAAAGCTGGTGTAACCGTTTCCGCCGGCGCGGGTGTCGCAACGATGTTGCTGGCGTTGGTGCCGGAGCTGCTGCTGGCGTCGGTGCTGTGGCTGGTGCTGGAGCCAGTGATGCTGGCGCCGCTGAAACTCAGCTCGCCGACGAGGCCTCGCCCGTGGGGGGGGATCAGCATCTTCAGGACGCGCTTGGTCTGCGCCGCGTCGCCCCTGTAGCCTTTCTGCTGGTACAGCCCAGTCGAACCGCCTCAGCTCCCTGTCCATGTGGGCGCCGTCCGTGAACGGCCTCAGCGCCTGCGGCGCGCCAGGGATGCCCCGCGTCGCCGTGGAGCGAGCGCAGGGGCTGGGCGAGAGGGGCGCTCGTCGAGGCTGGCGGCCGAGGGCGTGCAGGAACGCGCGCTGGGCCTTGGGCCCTTGAGGCACAGCGGCTGCGTAAGCGAGGAACTCTTGCTGCGGAAGGGGCGAGAAACTTGTACTGCGGGGGGGGGGGGGCGAGACAGGTGTACCGCGAAGAGCCACGCCCTGAGTGGAGGCGAGAGACTTGTGCTGGGCAAGGGGGTGAACTCTGGTGGGGAACGAGCTACTCCCTGGACCTCTCCTGGAGTGGGCTCTGACCAGGATTGCGAGGCGAATCCAGCAGTGGCGACGAGGGCCTCCCAGGAGGCCCAAAAAGGAGAACACGGGCGAAGGGTGCAGGTACGGTATGGGTACCTTTTCCTCCTCTGATCTGGGGGCCACGTATGGAGGAAATCAAAAAACGGAATTAAGGGTAATTGGTTTGCACCGCGAGACGTCTATGTGGCCGACTCTGGAAGATTGCCGCCGCCGTGGAGCCTCTCATGAGAAGAACACGACTTGCTTATCGCCGACCTTCCGCACGCTTCCACTGACCACACCGCCCTCGCCTTACTTCCGCGGGCGTTCGCGAGCCTTCGCTGGCCTCCGCAGTGGGCGAGAGCTCCAGAGGCGTCGGATGCCAAACACTCTTCTCGCCATCGCTCGGACGTCAATTTCTCGTGCATGTTTCGGTTTCGTGCGTGTTCTTTTTTGTGCTCGATGGTCCAGGATGGTCCTCGAAATCCTCGCCGAAAAAAAAACGCACACGTCGAAGCGATGCCAAGACACACTCTTTTGGATATCCTCGTGGGCCCCCCGCTCGTCCAGCTGCGGAGGGCCCCGGGAGGCCAAGCACGACGAACAATTCAGGGGCTGGGCCAGGCTGGAGCATCTCTCGGTCGCCTACTGCCCAACAGCTATTCTAAACTGGCCGTGCCCACAGACTCACGACTGAGCAGCAAAACGAATACACCCAGTCCTTTGGAAGACGGCCTAAGGTGGGAGGCCCAGGAACAAGGAGGAGATTGGCCATGTCTGCAGATGTCGCAGACGAAGCCACCCACGTGTACAGGGATAAGCCCAGAACCGAAGTCACGGCACGAACTCATTGTGTCATCAGGGTTAGGACTTGCATTACGCATGGCCAAAAGGTCCGAAGAAGATCCGACCAAACAACCAACCATTCGGGAGCGGCCAAGAGGGGAGTGTCCAAGCGGGGGGGTGCAAATCATGGCTGGCGGCATGTACGCGGTCCTTGGGGGGGGGCCAGGGACGTAATGAAATAAGAAGAGGCGCCCTGAAATCTGGGGAGATATCATGACCCCCGCCATGATATCCCCCCCCCCAGTCATCACCCCCCTCCTTTCCGCCCCCGAAAACGACCGACCACGGCGGATCGACTCGCCCCGACTCGCCCCCTTCAGGACCGCTGGGGCGGCCGCCAGGAAGGGACGCTGCGGCCCTCGTTGGGGGTGGCCTGCGCGCGCGCCGCGAGGGGAGGAGGAGGAGGAGGAGGCGGAGGAGGAGGAGGAGGAGGAGGAGGAGGAGGAGGAGGAGGAGGAGGAGGAGGAGGCCACTGTCGCAGGATATCCCCAGTGACAGCGGACGACGACGACGGCGAGGCTCGATGGCCATTCATGGCGGCGAGCGAGGAGGGAACAACGAGAAGGAGAAAGCCTTGTCAGGAAGGCGGCGGGACTTCTCGGAACCCCATCGCGCCCTTTGGGAGGTTCTCTGCGCCGTCGGGGAAGGCTCAGGGAGCTTCTCGGACGGCCGGGGGACTTCCGAGCAGTCTGTCTGCGAAGGCCCGCCCCTTCTCCTCACTGAATGGGGAACTGGGACGCACAAATGCATAGACGCAAAGAACAGGATTCCCCATGCTTTCCTAGACGTTCTGGGTTTCCGTCTTCCCCCCCCTTCCCACATGTTCCCGCATTTTCGAGGGAGTCGACGATTACTCTTCCCGTCGTGCTGGGCGGCTGCGGGGCGGGACTCCGCCTCGCGGCGAGGGTGGGAGGGGAGGGCGACGGCGGCGGCGGCTGGCTGGGACCGAGGCGAGGGGGCAGAGGGCGAGGGAGGGAGGGAGGGAGGGGGGGAGGAGGGAAGGAAGAGGGAGACGGAAGAGGAGGATGAGGAAGAAGAGGGATGGAGGGCAGAGGAGGAGGGACGGAGGGAAGAAAAGAGGTGAGGAGGGAAGAGGAGTAGGGACGGAAGGACGAGGAGGAGGGAAGAGGACGAAGAGGACTTGTGTCTGTGTTTTTTTCCCCTCCTGACTCGCTCCCCCCCCGGGCTCGCCGCCGAGACGGCGACGGCGGCGAGGCTCGGTGGCGACCCCTCGGCCGGCCCTCCTGGGCCAGGGTCGGGGGCTGGCTCCCGTGCAGCGGGAGCGCTGCAAGAAGGAGCCCCAAAACAAGGAACCGGGCCCCTTCCTTACGGTCAAGGTCCGATATATAGCGTGTCTTTGGGGAGACGCCCATACACGCTAAGTGCTCCGCACTTAGCGTGTATCCTTAGTGGTGGTACTTAGCGTGTATGTCCTTTCGGGGAAGGGGGAGGGATGATGATGGCAGGGAGAGGGATCATGCGGCCGCCGCGTTGGCAGAATGCTCGACATTTGTACGAAAGTTCGTTGGTAGATTAGGTGTGCATGTTTCGTCTCATCGCCGGCTAATCTCGGTAGACTTTGAGCCGTAGTCCAAGTCGGGAGGCCCAACATGTCGCACTGCCGTCGCAAGTCTAGCAGGTTTCAGAAGTCCCGCACGTCCCACAGGTCCCGTCCCGCAGGTCCCACTGGTCCCGCAGGTCCCACAGTCCACGGCCCCCCAGGCCCACAGGGGCCTTCAGATCTCAATAGTTTCACAGGTTGCATAATGTCCCGTAGTTCCACAGGTTGCACAGGACCCACAAGTCCGACATGTGCAGCGGACGGCGCGCACGACGCGCCGGGGATTTACAGGCACGATAAGTCCAGGTAGATCCCCCAGGTCCCACAGGTGCAGCAGGTCCCACAGGTCCCAAACGCTCCACATGTCGCGCAGGTGTCGGAGGTTTCGCAGGTCTCGCAGGACCCACAGGTCCCCCGGGTCCCACAGGCCCCATAGGACTCCCAGGTCCCGCAGATCCCACCAGTCCCAGGCGCCCCCCCAGAGGCCCCGCAGGATCCCCAGACACGCTAAGTGCAGGTATGCCCCCCAGGTCCCACATGTGTCGCAGGTCTCGCAGGTTCCACAGGTCCCTCCCACAGGCCCCACACGCCCCAAATGTCGCACAGGTGTCGGAGGTCTCGCAGGTCTCGCATGACCCACAGGTCCCACAGGTCCCGCAGGCCCCAATGGTCGTAGAGGTCTTCCAGGGTCCACAGGTTTCTCAGGCCCCACTAGTCCCGCAGGTCCCACGGGGACAGACCACCCGTCCCACGGTCTCCCAAGTCCCGCAGGACTTGGACCCGATCGGAGCTGCTGCTAGTCCCGCGCGTCCCCCAGGTCCCGCAAGTCCCGCAGGTCCCACATTTCCAACGGACGGCGCGCGCGGCGCGCCAGGGACCCCCAGACACGCTAAGCGCTGGTACCCCCCCCCAGAGCCCACAGGTGTCGCAGGTCCCGCTGCTCCCACAGGTTCCACCGGTCCCACATGTCGCATTGGTGTCGCAGATCGCGCAGGCCCCAGAGGTACAAGCACCACGGGTCCCACAGGTCCCATTGTTCTCCCAGGTCCCACAAGTCCCACTGATTAGTCCCACATGTCCCGCAGATCTCACAGGTCCCAGAAAGCCCATTAGTCCCAGTCCCCCCCGGCTCCGCAGGTCCTGCAGGGTCCTCCGGATGGCGTGCTCGGCGCGACGGGGGTCCCCAGACACGCTAAGTGCAGGTAGGTTTCCCAGGTCCCACAGGTCCCACAGGCCCAACAGCTCCCACAGGTCCCATTGGTCTCCTACGTCTGGGTCCCACAGATCCCACTTACTAGCCCCACAGGTCTCGCCTGTCCCACAACCCCCAGGGGGCCCACTACAAGGGGCCCACAGTTCAGGCAGGTCCCTCACGTCCCGCAGCCCTTGCAGTTCCAGCGCGCGGCGCACGCGGCGCGCCAGGGATCCCCGGACACGCGATGTGCATGTAGATCCCCCATGTCCCACGGGTGTCGCAGGTCTGGCACGTCCGAATTGGAGGTCGCACCATTTCCCGCGCGGCCGCAGGGGGGCGGGTCAGGGCCGCAGCGCGCGTCTTGAGCCATGGTTCGCACGGCTGCGCGCCGCCCCGCGGCGCGCGCGTGCGCGCAGCGCGCTGGGGCCCCCCGGGCGCGCTGGGTGCAGAGCGGGCTGAGGCGTCGCGCGCCAGCGGGGGGGGCTCGCGGGCGCCGCTGCGGGCGCGAGGGCGGCCGCCGCGCGCGCAACGCCGCTGGAGAAATGCGCGCAGAGTGCGCGCCCGACCGCCCGTTTCCAGCGGGCTCTGGCCATAAAGTCGGACAAACCGCGTTCCTCGGGCGGGGGGGGGGCTTTTCGGCGCGAGTCTGGCAATCCCGATAGGACGTGCCGCACTGTATCATCATCTTGTATCCCCCCCTGACAGCGGCGTTCCCGTCGCGCCTCGCAACGTCGACCTCGACGGCCTGCCTGGGGGGCGGGCGCGCCCGTGCGATCCACTGCAATTGTACGGAATGACGACGCGATGCCATCTGGCCCATGATCGGTGCTTGCAGGGGTCCACCACTTCGCTTCCGCATTGTCTCTGCCAGGACTTACGCACGTCCCGCGCGCCCCCCCAAGCCCCGCAAGTCCCGGAACGCCGGGGGCAGCGCAGGTGCGCCGCGTCACTGCGGGCAGCCATCGGTTCGTTGCGGATTGGGCGCCAATGGAGTTCGTGCTGGTTCCATGTGGCCCCATGTTCGTCTGGATGGCTCTCCCGTTCGTCTCGACGGCTCTCCCGTTGCAGAGCGGGCTGAGGCGTCGCGCGCCCGCGGGGGGGGCTCGCGGGGGCCGCTGCGAGCGCGAGGGCGGCCGCCGCGCGCGCAACGCCGCAGGAGAAATGCGCGCAGAGTGCGCGCCCGACCGCCCGTTTCCAGCGGGCCCTGGCCGAAAGTCGGACATCCCGCGTTCCTCGGGCGGCGTCTGCAGCTGGTAGTTGGCGCGGCGCGCGGAGGGCCCCCAGACACGCTGCTTGCAGAGCTTGCCGACATGGCGCGCGGGGGGCCCGCGGGCGGGTGGCGCGGCCCCGCGCGCGTCGCGTGGCGATGTTTTTGCGCGCGATGAGGATCGGGGCCGCTCGGGTGCCCATGCGTTCACCAAATGGCTCTCCGGGGCCATCCTGATTTCCGTCGTCGCGCGCAGGAACAGCGATGGAGACGCCGGCGCGCGCCGGCAGCGCAGGTGCGCCGCGCCACTGCGGGCAGCCATCGGTTCGGCGCGGATTGGGCGCCAATGAAGTTCGCATCGTTTCCATGTGGCCCCATGTTCGTCTCGATGGCTCTCCCGCCGCGTCGACTCGGGCACGGAAAAGGCGTGGATTGCGCGCCCCTGGGTTGCAAGATGGCACGTGAAGCGTTCATCGCGCGCGGGTTCTGTCTCCGATATGCACCATATAACGCCCAATGGCGCTTTTGTTAGCAATTTACAGCGACAATATCGCAAAAAACAAAATCTATAAAAGGATTGTTCGACGGCCGTGGCTTCCTGCCAAGTTCGTTTTGCGGATCGCGGCAGAAACGTTGAAAGCAGCCCCTCCCCCCAAACCCCCCACCATGAAAAAAAATGAGAGGCGGCGCAGCCCCCCCACCATGAAGACAACACCAACAAAAAACAAACAAACATATAAAAAAGGAGAAGCAGCGCAGCCGCTTCTCCTCTGTTTTTTGTTTGTTTCTTTTTTCTGCCCCGGATGCTCCGCAATGTTTTAGCTGTTTTGTCTCGGGGGGGGGGGGCTTTTCGGCGCGAGTCTGGCAATCCCGATAGGACGTGCCGCACTGTATCATCATCTTGCATCCCCCCCCTGACAGCGGCGTTCCCGTCGCGCCTCGCAACGTCGACTTCGACGGCCTGCCTGGGGGGCGGGCGCGCCCGTGCGATCCACTGCAATTGTACGGAATGACGACGCGATGCCATCTGGCCCATGATCGGTGCTTGCAGGGGTCCACCACTTCGCTTCCGCATTGTCTCTGCCAGGACTTACGCACGTCCCGCGCGCCCCCCAAGCCCCGCAAGTCCCGCAACGCTTGCATTTTCAACAGACGGCGCGTGCGGCGCGCCAGGGACCCCCAGACACGCTAAGTGCATGTGGGCCCCCCAGGGCCCACTGGTGTCGCATGTTTCGAAGGTCCCACAGGTCCCACATGGCGCACAGGCGCGGCAGGTCTCGCAGGCCCCGCGGGTGCAAGCCCCACAGGCCACAGGTCTCGCAGGTCCCGCACGCCGCGCACGTTCTCCAGGTCGCGCAGGTCCCAGTAGCCCCAAAGGTTCCACAGGTCCCACTGGTCCTCGATGACTTT